ATAAGTTAGAGACAGGGTGTAATCGAAACAATTGAGGGCTGGGAAGGTGGATCAGTGTTAAGTGTATACCACGAATGCATGAGGGCCTGGGTTCAATTCCTCAGCACCACATAAGCAGAAAAAGCAGGAAGGGGTGCTGTGGCTCAAGTGGTAGAGTGCTAGGCTCGACCTGAAGAGCTGAAGGACAGCGCCCAGGCCCAGAGTTCAGGCCTCACAACCGACAAACAAAAAATTTAAAAGTATCTATAACTGAGTCCCTATGAGGACACACTCAGTGACCAGGGCCAGTCTTGTCTTGATCAGCAAGCTGCCCTCAAGAGCCTTCAAGTTGGCAAAGTGTCAGGCAGAGAATAGTTGGCTGAGCATTAGGAAGAGGTTTGAAAGACAAAAAAGAAAAAGATGGAATTCCAATGAAAGAGCTATCACCGGGAAAGGACCTTGGAGAAAGAACAGAAATGTTTTCAAATCATGTGGAAATTCATGTCATTTGCAATACAATATTGTTCTTTATCTTTTATCTGGAAAACTCAACATTTCACATCTACACTTCCGGATTTGGTGGGGAAATTTGCAAAGATATGTGAAGTACATCCATTAAGATGCTGTTTTGGGCTACGTATAATAGAAAAATAGAGTAATAATGCTTTAAAGGGAAGGAAGTGCACAGACAAAAGCTAATACAGCAGATCCAGGATAAGATCCAAGTTCCTTCAGATTTTATGTTCTAGACAGTGGCTTCCATACATAAAAATAACTAATCATCGAAGTACCCGCTAGAACTTCTGTCATCACATTTGCCTTTAAGGCAACTGGATGTAGAACAGGAAAGAGTAAAAAGTACACAGTGCCTTTTGAAATAAAACCAACCCCATATTGTCTTCAAGAACACTCTAGTTCAAGAAAATAAACCAGTAGTACTGTGCATGCATATGAGTGATACGCTGTGAGTGTGCATGGTGTAGTGTGCACGGTGTGTGTGTTTGTGTGCACATTCATGTACAGTGGGGCATGAGGCTCAGTGGTACCTCTGCAGTAAGTCAGCTGTCATGACCCACTAGGGCAGCTATCTTCAGGGGCAACTGTCTAGTGAGACCTCTGCTCCCCTTAACTAAGTGACTGAAAAATACTGCATCCTTCTTCTCTGATCAGCAATTTTTACTGCATTAAATTACATGCAGCATCTAATTTACCCTTATATTATCTTAAAGTATACACACATTTCACTACATTTACAATGTGGCACAACCATAATTGTTTTAAGTTCCAGAATTTCCCCATCTCCCATTTCAAATGAAACCCCAAACACACAAAGAAGTCACTCCCTACCTGTGAACCCCTCCTCCCAGTAATTATCCGTCTAGTCTCTGTCTCCATGGGCCGCCATCTCTGGATAACGTGGTACCATGCAGGCTGCTACCGTTGGTGTCTGGGCCTTGCCTTCTGCCTGCTCGAGAGTTTCACCCAGGGCAACAGATGTCAGCGCTGTGCTTGGTTTTGCCACATTTTGTCTCCCTGCTCACCCGCTGGTGCGTCGTTGAGCCGTTCCCTCACCCCATGGCTCTGGTTAATGAGGCTTCAGTAAGAAGAGTGTACAGTTACAGTCGTATGCCAGTGTCCCACAGAAAAGTCCTCATGATTCTATCACCCGGTGATATCATAGCCATCTTGATTCATGACAAGTATATGGTGTTCACACCAGAACAAACCCCACCTAACAATTCATAGAGTAGCTTTTCTTAAATGATGTCTGGACCTAGGTGAAGATGGGTTTTCTGTACAACTGGGAGAAGAACTACTGAGTCATCCAGCAACTCTCTGTTTAGCTCTAAGGAGCCACAAGCCCGGCCGCAGCGCTGTACCACATCCATCCCCCAGCGGAATTAGAGGGCTCCACTCCCTCCACATCCACACCAGCGCTTCCTGCCCCGCTGGTGCGGCTTTGTCTGTCTTTGGGATACACAGCCAGAGTGTGGATGCAGAGTCGTATCCCACAGTGGTCTTGCTTGCCATGGCCCCGATGAGTAATGACTTTCAACATCTCTGCACATGGCCATTTACTTTTTACATTTTAGTTTTAAATATTTACCCCTTCCACTTAATTTTGAGTTCTGCTTCTCCATTGCTTCCTTTTCTCCAAAGCCGGCATCTCTGAATTACAATATTAATTGCTCAGTATTAAACTGTATTTTCATTCCCTTTCCATAAACCTTTTCCATTTATACTTTCTATCTACAAGTAGAATTTTCTCTTGTGCTATTTCCCTCTAACTCATTCTCCTATCCCCTAAGCCTTCTTAACTTTACCTATCTCCATACTGGGTAACTAGATGACACAAACATCATTCATTTCCCCTCATTTACTTGTCTTCTGTCACTTGTTTGAGTTTTGCTTTAGTTTTTATTATCTCTTCTTCTTTTATGGTCCTGGGCCTTAAACTCTAAGCCTGAGTGTTTTGAGTTTTTGAGCGTTTGGCCTCCCCTAGCCCCTGTCTCCAGAGACAGGGACGAAGAACAAGAATGATGGATGGTAGCCATGACTCCCTTTGGTCCCCAGCCCAGACCGGCGTGAGAGGTTTGTGCTGGAGGCTGCTACCCCGGGCTTGAAAGTCTACCAGGCCCACGGGAGGACGGTCCACCACCGCTGGCCACGGCGCCCCTGCGCTCTGGCTCTCATCACAGAAGGGTCTCCCTCCTGAGTACTGCCATGGTCCTCACCACCACATCTGCCGCCTCCGAGGCTCCTCCAGGGCCGGATACACAACTTCCCTACGCGTCCCCCGAATGTCTCAGCAGTACAACTGCTCTTCTGTCTCCTGTAGATCAGCAGACTAGAAAGAATCCGGTTAGAAAGAAGACCATTAGCATGTGGCAGACACGATGCCAGCTGCTTTTGCTGTGGGTGAAGAGCACAAACCATACGCCTTCTTCCCCTGCCTTGTAACCAGACATGCTCCTCGGCTCTGTGAGAGTGAATCCTGGGAGAAGTCCTTTCCAGGGTTTCCCCTGAGATCTGGGGCAATCTGCCTTGCCACCTTCCCCTCCCCCAAGCGCAGGAGACCTCAGGACGGAGCGGGTGCTCACAGCGTTGGGGGCCTTGTCCCAGGGGAACCGTGGCTCTGTGTGTCCAGTCTAACAGGCAAGAAGGCCATGCCCACGGGGCTCGTGTGAGGACTGGCTCGTGTCTGTGTTAGGAGAGCCAGGACCAATGTGCAACTTCTTAGATGGGAAAAGAAACCCTGGAGCCTTTGGCAGGCTGGTGAGGGAAAGCAGTCCCCGGCGAGTGCCCGTTTGAAGTCCTGCTAGCCGGCAGCCTCTGAACCGGGCGAGGCCCGCCCAACAGGGGCCTGGCTGGCAGAACGTCAATGTCTTACAGAGTTTTCCCTCCCTCCAGAGTACATTTTATGTCTCCCCAGCACACGTCATGTTCTGAGCTACTCACAAAAGCCGTCAGAGCTGCCCTCGTTTTCCCGGTCACACTCATTTGTAATTATATTTGATGTTCACACTGCAGCTCTGCAGCCTGGCTCTAGATGAGCATTCCTTCCCCATGATGCAAACCAATATCCTCCGAGGCCGCTAAAATGGTTTGCTCATGGCTTCCTAGCCTCTCTTGCCATAGTTTCCTTCTGCGCCCCCTGGGGCCTTGCCAGCATGTTTCCTGTAATTGCTGCAGAGAAACTACAGAGCCTCCTGCCAGGGCCTCGAGTGTTCTTTGGTGCCCTGCCACCAGCTGCTTTCTAGATAAGCAGCCATAGCATGAGCCAGGGTGTGGATGGGCCTGGCGTTGATTCACACAAACGCAAGACGCTCCCAGAATGTCTCAGCCTTGGGGCCCGTAAGAGGCAGATCAAACCCAAATAATGGGCCGATGGAGTACCAGGAGGAGGGTCCCACAGCACCCCTCCGCTCAGAGCCATTGCCAGCGACGTTGGGGTGGGGTCTCCTCACTGCCCTGCTTCTGCTCCACGGCTGCAGGACTTCGGGCTGAAACAATTCTCATGCCCTGGTGGCGTACTGAGACAATAACACAATAGCCCTGGAGAAAAGCTGATAGTGGTCATTTTAAACAGGAAACCAAACCCAAGAATGATCAAAGCATTTTTTCGGAATCACAGAGGGCTGCAGTTGGAAAATCTGTCACACTCAACACGCTGAGTCTCAGCGCCAGCTGCATGCCAGGCGCTACGCTGGGCACTGGGAACACGGAAACGCTGACACCCCGTCTCTGCCCTGAGAGGAAGAATCGGCGCTCAACCTGGGGACACCCACATCTGACCACAGACAGGGACACAAGGCAGGCAAGGGGCCAAGGTGAGCGGCCTGTGCTCTTCAGCTCAGGGCCTCGCTGCTGTGAGCTCCCCGGGAGGTGTGAGAGAACCAGATGGTACTATATAAAGCAAAAGCAAACAAAAAAAAAATGGAGCTCAGAGAGTCTACACGCACTTGGGATGGCAGCCTGGGTCCCCGGCCCCCATGGCCCCTGGTTCACTGGACCCTTCTCTGCCCACATCATGCCCAGACTCCCAGGACGTGGTGAAGGACAAAGGCAGGCAGGCTGCTTCCTGCATGGGTTTGCCTGTCATCGTCCACCAAGCACTAGACCATCTTTGAGTTCAATCCCCTCCCCAGCACCTCCCCAGGGTCTCCTGCTCCACTAGTCACACAGCTCAGTTTCCCTTTGGAAAGCTCACAAGACAGAGGAGACATTCCCACACTCGGAGCAGGGGACACAGAAAGGCATGTCCAAGTGGTTCCAAGAATGAGCAGCTCAAGTGGATTGTTCATCTAAATGACTTTATTAGTGTCAGAGACCATAGCATCACTGTTTGCTCTTGCTCTGTGGGAACCAATACCTCTTTAAAATACAGCTATTACTTAACTACAGGAACTTTTTATTCATAATCTTGATGTACATTTTCAAAACACCCCCTCCTCCCACCTTCCTCCAAGCCCTTGTCAGGCGGTGGTGATGTGTCCTCTGCTAGCCTGCACTTTAATATTTTGCAGCTGCAAAGTCGAGAGGCGTCTCCTGTTCTTGTTACTAGCTGGTGCTTCACAGAACAGTTTCTCGGAACACTATGGCTTTAGGATAAAAGGGCAAAGTGAACCGTGAGAACTGAATAGTTCCTTTTGGGACCACAATACCTAGCTAGAAACATGATCTTCTGCACAGTTTATAGCATCGCTGCTGGTCACTGACACAGATCTGAATATCTGTCAGTCTTCTTGAGCCACCATCAGACGTAGAAGTGAGCAGGGCCGGTGGTGAATTCTTACCTTCCCCTCGGCTGAACTTGGGGACCCCACAGCCCCTCCTTCACCTGAGGCTTCTGCTATCTCCTCAGCTCTGCTATTCTCTCTCTGTCTCTCTCTTGCACTCTCTTCTCTCTCTCTCTCTCCCTCTCTCTCTCCCCCCTCTCTCTCCCTCCCTCTCTCTCCCTCTCTCTCTCCCCCCCTCTCTCTCCCTCCCTCTCTCTCTCTCTTTCCCTCCTCTCTCTCTCTCTTTCCCTCCCTCTCTCTCTCTTCTCTTTCTCTCTCTCCCTCTCTTCCTCTCCTTCCCTTCTCATACCCAACAAAACCCTGTGCAGCTGCTTCAGGCACACTTAGGGGGTGAGCGCACGTGCTCCATGCCTGCATTTGTTCCGTCAGGCTAAGGTGCAGGCTGAGATGACCCTCGGAGATGCCTGAGCCCTGGTCCCTAGGACCTCAGCATGCTGCAGATCGGACTAAGGATTCTAAAACGAGCAGGTTATTCTAGACGATCTGGGCGGGCCCCACAAGCAATCACAACCGTCCTTACAGAGGGGGCTGATGTGACCCCAGAGGCCGAGCTTCCCGAGTTTGGGGGGGGGGGACACAAACCTAGGAGCAGCTGCAGCCCCGGGAAGCGGGAAGTCAGTCCTGCTGTGCTCTGGCCCAGAGCGGCTGCCGTTGGACTTGGGCCTCTGGAACTGTAAGGGGATCACTGTGCTCTGCGACTGGTTTCAGCAGCCAGCGGGAACTAATGCAGGATGTGCAGTGCAGCATGGCCTCCCTGAAATGCGGTGTGTGTTCTCGAGGAGGGGAGTCCTTCGGACCAGGGATGAATCTGCGGGCGGGGGGGGGGGGGGGGATTGGTACTCAGCGGAGGAGATGACAGCTTCCGAGTGGGGAATTTTCCACCCACATCTAGCAGACCTGCCTCTGTTTCCCCATGTAAGAATTGGAGCCCCTAGTCCCTGGGGTTGGGGGAGCTACAGACACTTTACACAGAAGAGGCTGGTCAGTTTTTGAGGACATTCTGGCTGACTGAAATGCCCACTCCAGAGACATCAGGTTCTGATGGAGGAAGTTTGAGATGGAGCTTGCCCCTTGAACTTTTAGCAGCATGGCTGTAATTGCTAGTGTAGAGCTTGAAAGTCCCCCAGAAGCCCCTATGTCAGAGGCGTGGTCCCCAGAGAGGCACTAAATGGAGGTAAAGACTTCGAGGCGGGGTGAAGTGGAAAGTCTTTAGGGCAGGGCGTCAGGTCCTGGGACAGGGACTAAAGACCACCTCTACCTTCCTCTTCCTCTCTCTCGCAACAGAGCAGAACCTGCTTCTGAACACAGACTTATCTCCCCTCCCCCCCTCTTCCCCAAGAAACTGTGCTGGTCTCTCCTTGGGGTTGGGCTAGGACAGCGGCGCCCTTTGAACCTTTCCAGCTCGGGTCTGAACAGACATCTCCACCACTGTTCATTCGTACTTGTAGGGATTCCCCCCCCCCCCCACTTCGTTTAGTCTCCGATAAACCTTTCTTTATCGATTTCCGTTAGCTTCTTCCAAGGTATTAGAAGACTTAATGTCAATTTTCATTTCCAAAACTGGTAGCAATTGAGGAAAGTGCTTTCTTCGGATCAATACTTGCTCCGGACTTGACAGTGAGCGATTAATAATTGCATGGTACATGACTTGACTAGAGGAAGAAACAAAAGACGAAAAATCAGGAGCCAAAAGGACTGCGGCCGATGCCCAGAACCCAGCGGACGATTCCGTGGACAGGGCTTCGTGGAGGGGACTCAAGTGCTGAGCGAAGCAGAAACACCACCGCACTGCGGCAGGGACTGAGCCCCTCTGGGAGCCCGCATGGCTGCTGCGGCCCTGGCCCCGGCCCGGGCCTGGTGCTCCCTGACCCCCGCCCCCCCCCCCCCCCCCCCCGCGCTCCCTGACCTCCCTGACCCGACCCCCAGGCTAAGCTTCCTCAGCCCCGTGCGGGTCACAGGCGCCACCTGGCTGGCTGGTGGCCTCTCCTCATCACCAGAGGGCTTTGGGTGGTCCTGCTCTAACTGAAGTCCGTGAGCCTCGGTCCCCAGCTGCCTCCTCCTCTCCCACCCTGAGTTTCTCCCAGGAACCCTGACTCGTCCTAGGCACGGCAGGGGCTGCAGGGTGGCGCTGGCCTGAGCGGCAGGACACCCTGACCCGGAGCAGAGCAGCATAGAGCAGGAAAGGCGATTTTCAGGTGGAGGAAGGTTTCCCCAGCCCAGCACAGAGCCACCACCCCGGGAAGCCGCTCAGCCAGGACTCAGCTGCACCTGTGTCCACCTGGAGAAATGCCCCCCGCCCCCCGCTAGTCTCCTTTAGGCCCTGGGGGGCCAGTCCCAGGGGAGCAGCCTGGCCAGCCCGGGATCTCCTCCCCTCCCCCAGGGGCTGTCCTTCCAAACACGGAGTTGGCATAGACCAGCAGAACACACACACACGTGCACACACGCACACACACGTGCACACACACACGCGCACACACACGCACCCAGACACTCATGCTCTCATACATACACATGCACTCACACACGCTTTCACTCATATGCGCACACACTTTCTCACATGTCAAAAATCACACTCATTCACACACTCTACTACATTTACACTCACTTTTCATCCCTTCACACACATCCACACCAATGCTCACGGATACTCACATTTTCATGCACTTACACATTCACCCTCAGACACTCACACAAGCACACGTTTTCATATTTCTCCACTCTTGCACACACATTCATGCACATGTACGCACGCCCTCATTCGTGTTCCCTCACACATTTGCACTCACACAAGCTCACCCTTTCATACCTATGCACACCCAGACACACTCAGATACTCTCATACATTCACATATTCCCTCACACATACGTTTGCACGCGCACACACGCACAGCACACTTTTCCAAGTCGCACCTCTGTGAAGGGAGTGGGGCCGCGAGGAGCAGAAACACGGCCGTAAGCACCCTGCTAGTAGGGTGTGGATGCCAACACGGGGGCATCCACTCCTCCATCTTGGCCCTGGTGGTCTTCCATCCTTCCCACGCTCCCTGAGCCCTGCCAGACAGGGCTGCGGCAGGCCAGGAGTAAGGCCTGAGTTACCTTCCTGCTGCCCTCACCCCCCACACACCACTCAAAAGACCTGAAGAACCACTTTCAAAAGCCCAGATGCCCAGGTCGGCCCTGCAGCTGGGCAGAGGGACGGAGGGAGGGCCTGGTAAACTGGGGTGAGGGCCATCTGTCCCCCACTTCCCAGGCTTCTCTCTCGGTCTCCCACCCGCACGTGTCACCTGCCGGGAATGGTGAGTGCTCTGCCGGGAACGGTGAGGAGAGCTCTGCCGGCGTCCATGCAGCCCGCTCGCCAGAGCTCTGAGAAAGAGGCTGCGCCAGGGTGCCGGAGTTCCAGCGCCCGGGCGGAGCTCGGTCAGCTGCGCTCCTCATCAGCACCGCCTTGAATGTTGGCTTCAGAACAGCACTGCGCCACTCGACCGCTTCTTTTCAAAATAAAATGCTAGGTATTTCATTTTAAAGAAAATCCAGGAATTGATATAGATGATAGATATAAATAAATACATTATTTAGGATTGACAGATAGGATGGAGGTAGAAGGGTAGACAATGGATAGATGGATGGGTGGATCAACTACAGAGAATGGTTACTTTCTCCAAAGATCACACCTCCCAGCCATTCTCTCCAAGCTGGCTTGTCACAGCCTTCCATCTTTTGCCAGCTGAGAAGAGGCCTCCTGTTCCCATCTTCCCGCTCAACAATCTTTAAGCTGGGAGGAGATGGCTGCATTGATGACAACTCCATCAGGGATGTCAGCCCTGTGTGCTCCCAGGAAAGCACACATCAGAAAGGATTAAGAGGCCGCATAAGCTCCTGGAAGCAGCTGTCTTCCCAGGCCTTGGCCAAAGGGTTTGAAAATGAACAAACACCCTCTTGACCTTGAACAGAACTGTCCTCACCCACACGGCCACGAATCGTCCAAGTCAGCATCTGGCTCTCTTCTTGTGGTCCCTGCTGGGAAGACTGGAGCCCTGGGACGGTTGGACACAGAGCAGCAGGAGGAGTCGGCCAAGACACAGATGTGCAAAGCACATGTCCAACAGGCTCCCCCACCAGCCCCACGGGGCCCCACGGGGTGCGTGCTCACACCCCTCCTCTGCCCGAAGGCTATGTCCCGGCTCTGCATATAGTTTGGGGATGTATATGTATACTTCCTCAAGTGTCCCCAAAGGAACGCTTCAGCAGCAAAGCAAACTCGTGTCAAAGTCTGGGGGAATGACCTGTGTTCTTTCCTGAGCTTTCTGCTTGTATCTTAAAAGCCTGAGGCAAAGGCTTCGGGAATGAACCTATGCAAACCAGGAGTTTGTTCCACCTTTGAGGAGAAAGAACCTGTTAAAGGCAGGTCACATGTTTCTGCTTAGATTTATGATAAAGCCCTACTCCCCATTGCTGCCAGATTTTTCCTTCCTTCAAAAAGAAAAGAATCTACTTACTTTGGAACCTGCTAAGCATAAATGAAAGGCCCATGGGAAGCAAAGTCAAAGTCCATCCTGTGACCATCAAGTTGCACCTAGAATTTAAAGCACTTTCAGAATGAAGCAGGTTATCTCCACCGAAGCTCAGCACGTTGCAGAAGCGGTGCTTCTGTGAGTTCCAGTTCCTTATTCCTGACGCGCGAAGCCCGGGCCTCCCAGGAGCAAGCCAGCGCCCGCAGGGCCCCGATGGTTCCTGTGTTCTGGTGGCGAGCAGGACTGCTGCAGCTCCAGGCCATTCTGTGCTAAGGCGTGGAGCAAACAATAACTGGTTTTCATAGATGGCAACTTTTTTTTACAAAGCCTTAGATCATAGTCTTATTAAGTATAGCAGTTCAAAATAAGCTTCCCTGGGAACACCGGGGGACTGGGGGCCGCGGGAAGGCCACTAGGAAGCTCCCACGTGGTCTCTGCTGACCTCCCCAAAGCTGACTTCCCTCCAGGAATGTCCATTTCCTTGATGCCTTGCTTGAACGCGGACCAACCACCCCACTGAGATGGGTGAAAACTCTGTGCCTTTGCCCTTTATGAATGGCAAGCCCATTGTTTGTTGGTTTTTCTTTAAAGCTCCAGTGTCCAGAAAGCTTGGAGAGTTTCTAGAACTTCTCCTCTGCCAGGGCCAAGCTGCCAGTAGACTGCATCCAGAAGCTGTTCATTCTCCCAGCCACACCTGAAGACCCTGCCAGAACTGTGATCTGCCTTCCTGCTCTTGTTCCCCTCTCGGCCTCCACCACAGCTCAGCTGAGGAGCAGTGCCTCGGTTTCCTCCCCGGTCTCTGGCTGGTCTCTGCGCTCACTGGCGCTGCCTGGGCTGAGACTCACAGTCTTTGCAGCCATGCCCCTGCCTGGGTGGAAGTCGGTTCCTGCAGCCCTGCGCTCCATACTCTCTGACCACTCTGCTCAGCATGTCCCTGGAGAAGGTTTTAAGACTTAGACACAATCCTACTGGACATGTTTATGCTTCTTGCCTCCCCTCCCACCCCTGAGCTGAGAGCAAGCTTTCTCCCTCAGCAGACCCGGTCTCCAAAGCCCCAGCGGCCCAGAACCACACGTACAGCGAGGGGCGTCGGCATGCTCTTAAAGAAAGAACTTGGCCACTTGGCTTCCTTCTGAGAGGCTGCATTCATGACATTATTTTAAAAAGCAGAACTCGGTGATCATTTCCAGGCTACACAAGGCTTGGTGGAGATGCTGCATCCGCGATCCGCTGTCTCCCTGCAAGTGAACTTCGCTTCACAGCTCTTACGACACGACGGGTGAAGGCTTTCAAGGTGTGAGTAGGAGGTTTGCCTCTCAACACTATCCCCACGCGCTGTGGTCTAGACAAAGCCTCTGGTGCCCACGTGGGTGACCCCCTCTTGCTCGTGAATTGCAGAGGAAGGATTTTTCTCCCCAAGATGGCATCTCCCCCATTAGACACAGCATCTGCCTGCGCCTCACCACGGTCTGAATGGTGTGGGCCGTGGTGGGCAGAGCAGAGTCAGACATCATGCCCCCCGATCCTGCTCACAGCTGCGCCCTGGCCCACACCCCCAGCCCTCCCCCCCCCAGACCTCTTCTGCCCCACTGGGGTGGCCAGCTCTGCTGCCGGCAGGACAGGCCGGTCCCCCTCCCCCCCCCACTTCCCCAGCAGCACCCAGCTTTGAGCTCTCTTGCAGCGGCCCTCATCCCATATGTGGGGGGGGGAGGGGAGGAACCAAGGCCACCGCCAGCGCTGTCCCGTCTGGTGCCCAGCATGCTGCCTGGCCGCTGGACAGGTGTGAGGCGCTGCAGATGCAGGGAGGGAGCGGGGAGGCCGCAGGAGAGACATCAGAACCTTCTAGCGCAGTGGGGAGACCCCGAGCCCCAGCTTCCCTGGGAGAAGTCCTTGGTCGGAATCCCTGTAGTTTTGCGCAGCTGGCTCTCGCTGAGGGAGGCCGGCCGGGCACCCGGTGTCTCCCTGATCGCCCTGTGTGGCCGTCTGTGACGGGGCAGCAGGCACCTCTCGGCACCTTCTGGTCCCCTGTTCTCGAAAGATCCCAGGAGCTCAGCCTCTGCCAGCTATCCGGGGGTGGGCAGGACCA